GTATGCTAAAGTCTTAGTACTAGATCAAAGCATATCATGACCACTCCTGACATCGATTTTCTCTCAATCTTCCTGGTAAAGTCACTTGTGGCAAACATAGAATTAGTCTATGGGACTAGAAAAGAACATAAAAATCATTTATTCAACTAACTTTACCTAATAATATCTAATCTCTACTCCCTTCTGGACTATGAAAGTATAGAGTTTAGCTTGATAAATGTTATTTCCAAGTAATCTATCAATTCTACAATCTTAAATAAATGAAACATGGGTCTGCTGTGACTGCTGAACCATGGAAACACATCTAATATTGTGCCTTGAAATACAAAGTGTCCCCAAAAATCTAAGAACTGTACTGTCTTGCCATAAAATTGAGAAAGTATACCTTGTCTCAGAAGTACACCTTGTTACATGGCCAGTGCAGGAATTCATTTTGCTTGATTATGCATATTACAAGGATTTTGTTTATCTTTTTCTTTCCAATGGGGATGGGGTGAGGGCAAGAGAAAACACACTTTTGTTCACTGAAAAAAAAATTAATTAAATTTTGAAAAAATGGAAGTACACATTATTTACCCAAAATGATAATACAGTTGGGCTATGGAGCATTCAACAAGACAAACGGAACAGTCTTTGAATTGTCAGGTTTTGGATCTAGTCGGATAAAAAGCCTTGAACCAACATTCTGTACGTGCATCTGAGAGGAAGAAGGACTGTGCCACTTAGTTGTGGTTTTTTTTTTTTATCAGTCATAGTTTCTTCCAATGGCACAGAATTCCAAAGGAAGTTTTTAAGTAAATGCTGCGAGAGCAGAAGCTAAGCCTTTATCTTTGTATCTCCTTCAATTCTCTGTAAGTAGAAGTCTCAATGATTTTTAATAGAATCGAATTGAATGTCAGAAATTCTTCCTTTTGGTTAATTGAAATCTTTTTTGCAGAATAAATGGTTGCATACAAACATGAGGAACAACCAGGAGTATTCTCCTTATAATAATGATAATTTTCCTAAAGAGAAGGGGAAAAAAAAGCTCCTTAAGTGTTTTCTTTCTCTGGATTCAAATTCCCATCTCCTGTGTTTTGTGGATAGCTCTGATCATTTGCCAGTTGGTCATTTTTTAATTTCTTCTATGAATTGGGGTGAGGGGGAGGAGATTTTTGTATGAATTACAGCACATGAGTTCACACTTTGAATAAAAGAAAATTAGAATTTGTCTTAAAAAGACAACTGGAAAATAAATCTTGTATAGGGAACTCTTGGAAAAACATGAGAGAAAACAGAGTCACTTTCATATACCAAATCATTTCCATATACCGTGATAATGCAGTGGAATAGGACATTTGTGAAAGAGTGAAACTTTAAAGGAAACTAATGAAAAATATTCAAATGGTTCTGTGAGCTCATTGGCAGGAGTAAACCCAACAGCAATACACATGTCAACCCATCTATGTCTGACTGACCTGTGTGACTCTCACATACATCCTCTTAATAAGTTCATCACTGAAGGTCCACTCTTCATGCTGCTGGCCTTCCTTATTTTCTCTGACATTACACAGAAGTCAAATGCATCATGCAGGATATATCTCCTTCTTTCTCTCTCATCATGTAACCAGCTTTTTTCCCTAACACATTTCTTTGATATATCTTTTACAATGCTCCTCTCTCGTAAACAAACATGCACAAAATAATTTGAGCTCTAAAAATGATTGAATAGATGAGATGAATAAGTAACATGATTTAAATAATGGATAGGACATAATATATTAATATAAAAGTATAAAAAACCAAAGATGCATGGGAAAGGTTTTTTGGTTTGGTTTTGTTTGTTGTTTGTTTGGATTTGGGTTTTTTTTAAAGAGCACGGTATGAAACGAGTATGAAATAATATTTATAGGGAAAGGCTAAATTAGGCAGATGGTTTGACCCAAAGAGATCTTTGAAGAAAATTTTTAGAATTAACATATTCTCATAACTAATTAAAAATATTTCATGATGCCTTTTTTGTTTTTGTAAGATAGACATTTCCTAATATGCTCTTCCCATTGAATCCCCCACTTTTTTTTTTTTTGAGTGAAGAATCGTTTATTACTGTTCTGGGAGAACCGGCACACCTCTGGGAAGAAAGCGCGCTGATTACAGAAGCAAGAGACAGCTTTATACTGTTAGAACACTGCGACTCCTCCCTTCCAGGCCCGGATTGGTCCGTTCCTTTCTGGGTCACACTCTTCCTGATCCGCCCATCCCATGTTTCTCCTTGTCCCTTGCTTGTTCAGTTAATCAGGCTCTAATTCTATGTGGGGTGTGTCAGTTAATTTTGTATCATCTAATTAAGCATGCGCAGTTCCGAAAGCCTTGCCCTTTGTCCTTCGTAGGGCTGGTTAAAACTGGTTCTGCGCTCTAGGAACTTTGGAGTCTATTAAAAGATTAGGGCCCTTCTCATTAGCTTGCCCTTTCCCCCGTTTTCCTGTTTTTGCAAGGTTTTACAAGCTTGTTAAAACAATGTAACTTATTATTACCAAATTCTTTGCTGAGAATTCCCCACTTTTAACAAAGAAAAACAGTTAAACAAAATCGACTGACAGAGACTATGTTTGACAGTTTATGCAACATTCTCTACCTGTAGTTCCCTACCTGTCTATCAAAAGGAGGTAATTATGTATTTTTATCTGTTCTTTGGTACCACAGTTGATTATTACAATTTCTTTTGTGTCGTTTTTGCTTATGCTAATGTATTTGTGTATATTGCTCTCCTAATTCTACATACTTCATTCTCTCTCAGTTCATATATAAAAATTCCCATATTTCTATGAATTCCTCATATTAATCATTTCTTATAGTGCAATAATGTTCCATTAAATTCATAGTACCTACTTTGTAGGTATTTTATACTAAGAAGGTGATATATATAGTTTCTGTCTATCTTTGACATCTTTATTATATTTTCCTAGTGTATAAACATTTAATAACTTTTCTTCTATAGTTCTAAATCGTGTTCCATGGTGGTAGGACCAACTAATAACTCCACAGTGAATATGTCACTTGGTAGCCCATCTAAATAACTCTTTCTCTTCTCATCTTTGCCACTTTGACTTTCTATAGTTTTTAAAGAAGCAGCTTTTTCTGAATCTTCTTAGCATCATATGCAAGTCCTTTGAAGAAAGTCACTGAAATTTCTTACTCCTTCAAGCAGAACAATTCAATCCACACATATAAAAACTACTGTGAATTCAGCAGTAGATTTGAGATCAGAGGACGATAGTTCAAATTCCACCTCTGTTCCTAAGTGTGTGATCTCAGGAGAGTCACCTAACCCCTATGGGACTCAGTTTCTTCATCTGTAAACTGAGATTAGACTAGACAACTCAATCATGTTTTTACCATGCATATTTGTTTTGTTTAATACTGGCCTACATTTTTAGAAGTGTACAATTTTTTTTTAATTTTTAATTTTTCAATTAGCAAGCATTTATTTTCTATCCCTCCCACCTCCTCCTACACTGGCAAAAAAAAAAAAGAAAGAAAAAAAAAGCCTTGTAACAAATAGGCATGGTCAAGCAAAACAAATCCCTACTTCGACCACGTCTAAAAATATGTCTCATTTGGCCTAGACCAAAGGGTCGATTATCATGTCACGAGGTGGGTTGCTGATGCCATCATCACTGGTCTCTTGGAATCATGACTGAGGCATTAGTCAGAGTTTTTAAGTTTTTCAGAATTATCTGTTTTTATAATGATGTTATCATATAAATTATTCACTGGGTTCTGTTTCTTCATTCTGTATCAGTTCATAGAAATCATCCCAGATTTCTCTGAAAACATCCTTTTCATTACTTCTCACATAAGCATCCATATACATCTCATGTTACATCCACATAATATAATTTGTTGTCATTCCCCTATTGATCAGTACCACCTTATTTCCAGCATTTTGCCACTACAAAGAGAGCTACTATAAATATTTTGTGCATATAGGTCCTTTTCCTTTTTCTTTAATATCTTTGGGAGAATGACCTTAATTGTCATATTGCTGGGGTAACTTTGCAGGCATAGTTCCAAACTGCTTTCAGTCACTTCTGACTCTTTGTTTACTGGCAAAGATACTGGAGCAGTTTATAATTTCTTTCTCCAGCTCATTTTACAGATGAGGAAACTGAGGCAGAGAGAATTAAGTGACTTGCACCGGGTCACATAACTAGTAAGTGATTGAGGCTAGATTTGAACTATATAGAGCAATTCACAGCTCTACCAACATAGCATTAATAATCCCGGTTCCACAGCCTCTTCAACATTTGTCATTTTCCTTTTTTTTGGTCATCTTTCTATCTTTCTGAGTTGCTTTAATTTGCATATCTATTTATGATTTGGAGCCTTTTTTATAAGGTTGTTGACAACATAGATTTCTTTCAAAAACTACCTGTTTATGCCCACTGATCATTTATCAAGTGGGGAATGGTTTTTATACTTGTAAATTGAATCCAGTCCTTATTTAAAAAAAAATAAGTAATGTTTTTCCAGTTTGCATGTCTTCCTTGCACAGAGGTGATAATAATCTCTGTATTGTTCTAGTTTTAGTAAGTGTTCTGCTGAAGTGAGCACTAAGGATACCATTTCTTGACTCATTTTGCCTAAGCCAGAATATACAACACATTTTTACTTACATACAGATGAACATGTGGAATGTAGAAATAGCTGCAGAGCCTAGAGTAACAGGTTCTGGACTAGAATTCTGGAAGCAGTGGATTGTTCTGCTCACGGCACAAATTCACTTCATAGCCTTGGATAAATCACTTAACTTTAACCTTTCTTTGTTTCACTTCCCTTGTTTGTAAAATAAGGAGGTTAGACTAAATGTTTGATCTCTAAAGTTCCTTCCAGCTATGACATTTGACACTTCTACAAAATAAAACCTATCTCAGTTCCTTAGATTTAGGAAGGACACTCATGCAAAGAAATGCTACCTCAAGTGTAAATATGTGTAATATAAACCTTGCTATTTTCCACAGATATCACTGATGCAAGAAATTGGGAACAAGAAAATTCCCGGGGACACCAAGAGGTCCCTAGTCCCTCAGCATACCACCGTGTTACCTGGGGGATCTGTGAAACTGAAAGTGATCTCACCTATGGAGAAGTGGAACATCGGTTAGATTTACTCCAAGAACAACTTAACAGGTATCAAAAAGCAAGTGCATGACATAAGAATGATAAAATGGATCCTTTTTCTGTTTCTAGGCTTACTGTCAGAAACTAAATCCATCCTGCCCCTCTCCCACCCTGTGTACATGCATTGTCTTTTCTCAGAGAATAGAACATTGAAGTAGCTCAGAATTGATAACCGAGCGATGTTTAAAAAAAACAACTCTCCTTACTCATCTTTTTGTAGCCTTTGGGTGGTGCGGCTGTATACTTTATTGCTACCTTAAAATTGTTCATAAAATGAACTTCATCTTCTGTCATACAGTTTATCTTGTTGTGCCATTTCATTCATGACGGAGATCCTGAACCTTGGTTTTTCCACTTACTCTTTGTGTGGCCCTGGGTAGATTCACTAAGCCTGATTTCTCACTTGCAAAATGAGAAAAATAATATTCTGTTATCTGCTTTAAAGGGATATAGAGCCAGAACTGGAGTCTTCCTGAGTTCAAATCTAGCCTCAATCACTTACTAGTTATGTGACCCTGGGCAAGTCACTTAATTCTCTCTGCCTCCGTTTCTTCATCTGTAAAATGAGCTGGAGAAAGAAATTATAAACTACTCCAGTATCTTTGCCAATAAAACCCCAAATGGGGTCACAAAGAGTCAGAAGTGACTGAAATGACTGAACAAACCTGCCTTAAAGTGTTCTTATGAGGAACATATTAGATATTATTTTATATTATTATTAAATAGATAATTAAGCTCATATAATATATACAAAGCAACATCTAATTATTAAGCTATAGGTTAAAGATTTAAAACTAGAAGAGATTTAGTCCAATGCACTTACTTTTTAGATGAGGAAATTGAGGCCCAGGGAAGTAAATAAAGTGACTTGCCCTACTAATAGAGGCAATAAGTACAAGAGGTAGGATTTGAACACAGGTCCTCTGCTTCAAGATGCTTCCTGATGTACTTAAATATAACAGGAAACTCCTGGCATGGCAACTCCCTCCACCAATAAAGATCACATACATACGTACAATGCTTCCCAACATTTTTTGTTCTGCAAACTCCAACAACAACAACAACAACAATTATTATGATGATGATGATGATGATGATGATGATGATGATGATGATGATGATGATGTTTACTATGTGCCAGGAGCTGTGTTAAGCACTTTACAAATCTCTCATTTAGTCCTCACACTACCCTGGAAGGTAGATGCTATTATTATCTCCATTTTACAAGTGAGAAAACTGAAGCAGACAGGGTTAAATGACTTGCCCAGAGTAACAACAGCTAGTAAATGTCTGAGGTGGGATTTCTATCAGGGCAACTAGGTGGCACAATGGATAGAGCACTACACCTGGAGTCAGGAAGACTTATCTCCCTGAGTTCAAACCTGGCCTCAGACACTTACTAGCTGTGTGACCCTGGGCAAGTCACTTAATTCTATTTGCCTCCGTTTCCTCATCTGTAAAATGAGCTGGAGAAGGAAATGGTAAAGCACTTCAGTATCTTTGCCAAGAAAATCCTAAATGGGTCACAGAGTCAGATACAACTGAACAACAATAACTAATTGGACTAAGGTACACATGACAACAGATGAAAAAAATAAGGCAAGATAGAGTTAAGTGACTTGCCCAGGATCATGCAATTAGGAAATATCTTAGGCTGGATTGAAATTCAGGTATTCCTGATGCCAGGAATAAAGCTCTATCCACAGTATGACCTAACTAGCTGCAGACAGCATTCTGTATCCATCCTAAACAGAGGCAGAAGATAAAAGCTTGCATTATATTTGGCTCAAAATGTCCATTCAAGTCCTCTATTCCCAGCTCTGCTACATATTACCTGTGTCACCTTAGGCAAATAATTTAACTTTGTTGGGCCTTGGGTTCCTCATCTGTAAAATGAGAGGCAGAATCTTAATCCTTTGATACTAGGGTTTGTGGTTATCTGTTGGGTGAACCTTTTTTTAAGTCATAAAAAGAGAATCTCAGTTACATTCTTACATGGAAAGATTATATTTGTAATTCATGAGACCTTTGTCAGTATTAGGGTAGTTGGAGGGGAAAAAAAATTACATGTATAGATAGATTGATAGAGGGCACAAGGTGAGTTGAAGATGAATGGGTGATATCTTGAGAATAAAATTAAGGGGTAAGAAAGGATTATACTGGGAGAAGGATAAAGGGAGAGGTAGAATAGAGTAAATTATCTCACATAAAACAGACAAAAAAAGGCTTTTACAGTGGAGGGGAAGTGGGGGAAGGTGAGGAGGAATGAGTGAATCTTATTCGCTTTGGATTTGGCTTAAGGAGGGAATAACATACACATTCAATTGGGTATGGAAAGCTATCTTACCCTACAGGAAAATAGGGGGGAAGGGGATAAGAGAGTGGGAGGATGATAGAGTAGATTGGGGGAGGGGGTAATCAGAAGCAAACACTTCTGAGGAGGGTTAGGGTCAAAAGGGAGAATAGAATAACTGGGGGACAGAATAGGATGAAGGGAAATATAGCGAGTTTTCCACAGCATGACTACTATGGAAGTGTTTTGCTGAACTATACAAGTATAACCTAAATCGAGTTGCTTGCCTTCTCAATGAGGGTGGGTGGGGAGGGAGAAAGGGAGAAAATTTTAAAAGTTTTAAAAACAAATGTTAAAGATTGCTTTCACATGCAACTGGGAAATAACATATACAGGCAATAGGGTAAAGAAAACCATCCTGCCCTACAGGAAAAGAGAAGAGGAAGGGGATAAGAAAAGGGGGGGAGATAGAAGGGAGGGCAGATTAGGGGAAAGGGTATTCAGAATGCACACTGTGTTGCGGTTGGGGGAGAGAGATGAGATGGGGAGAAAATCTGGAACTCAAACTCTTGTGGAAGTGAATGTTGAAAACTAAAAATAAATAAATTAATGGATTAAAAAAAACTTTTTGTAAGAAGGTTTTTACAATTCTCCTTAATCTTAGGTGCTCTCCCTCTGATGTTGTCGCTGTTGTTCAGTCATTTCAGTCGTGTTTGACTCTTTGTGACCCTCATTTGGGGCTTTCTTGGCAAAGATACTAGAGTGCTTTGCCATTTCCTTCTCTAGCTTTCTGATATCACCTCCAATTTATCTTGTACATATCTTTTTTTTATCCATAGTGGTACATATTCTCTCCATTAGGTTGTGAGCTCCTTGAGAGCAAAAACTGGTTTTTTGGGGGTGGGGGAAGGGTTGTTTCTTTTAGGGCTGGATTTTTTTTTGGGGGGGAGGTTGTCTTTCTCAGGCATTGGCACATAGTAGGTGCTTAATAAACACTAGTTGACTTGACCTGAAAAGTGCTACACTCAGCCACAAAAAAAGCAATCAGTCCAGAATGTCAAGAGATTCCATGGCAGATAACTTAGTGAATTAATTTCAGGAAGGTAGGTAGACCTTACATTAAAAGAAGTAATTACTCTTGTCAAACAAGATTCAAATGGTTTTAAGAGTCTAATATTAGCCAGTAAAGAGTTCTAGATCAGATGAGAGAGCAAGCAGTTTGCAGTCAGTAGAATCCACTTCAGCTTCATCTTTCTTCTTTTACATGTCAGTCTGCATGTTTGATCTTGCCTCCACCCAACTCTCAAGGTAGAGCAGAAGTCAACAGTTTGGTGCTTAGAGGAGGAGCCAGAGCAACCTTTAGCATAAGCTAGCTTTAGATTGAGCTCACTTTGACTCAAGACCAGTAAATACATATGTGTCTTTCTAAAGCAGAAAAGCAGAAACACTCTGATTTTCTATTATCAAACATCTCAATTAATCACTAATATCAACAAGTAATCATTAACTATCCCTACTCACAAGTTTACATTCTAATGGGGCAGACAACAAGTACACATAAAAATACATACAGCACAGCAATAAAGTTAATAAATATAGACATCTTTATAGAAAGTAGTAAAATACAAGGTAGCTTGGGAGGGAGAGTACTATCACTTGAGAGGATCAGGTGGTATCTGAGCTGCATCATCAAGGAAGAGAAGAATAGTTGTGAGTACTCACTACCTTACAACCTACTCACCTCCCTCACTTCCACTTCCCTGCTCCATCAGTAGTATGTTAGTGTCCCTATTTTGCCACATCCCCTCCAGCATTTGTCGTTTTCCTTTTATATCATGCTAACCAATCTGATGGCTGTGAGATGGTATTCCAGAGTTGTCTGAATTTGCATTTCTCTAATCAATAGTAATTTAGAGCATTTTTATGTGACTATTGATAGCTTTATTTTCTTTTTCTGAAAAACTGCCTGTTTGTATCCTTTGACCACTTCTCAGTGGGGAATGACTCTAATTTTTATAAAGTTGACTCAGTTCCCTATGTATTTGAGAAATGAGACCTATTTCAGAGAAACTTCCTGTAAAAAATTTTCCCCCAGTTTCCTTCTTTCTTTCTGATTTTGGCTATATAACTTTTGTTTGTGCAAACACTTTTCAAATTTCATGTAATCAAAATTATCCATTTTACTTCCCATTATCTTCTCTATCTCTTGTTTGGTGATAAACTCTTCCCTTATTTATAGACCTGACAGGTAAATTTTTCCATGCTCCCTTAATTTACTTATGATATTACCCTTTATATCCAAATCGTTTATCCATTTTGACCCTCTATTTTTTGTCAAATGCTTCCTACCATATTTTCTTTCTCTGGTCCATGGATTTCCTTATCTGTATTTTCTAGATATACAATACTATTCAACTTTTAATTAATCTATTCCCTACTTCCTCCCCCATCCCCTTTAAACTATTGAATATGGTATACCTTACTATCCCAAGTCTCTGAGATATCACTATAAGGTTAATTTACTTTCTTGTGTAACAGTCCTTATTTTTCTTCTTTATTACACATCAGAGACTATGGGTTTCATTATTCTTCTTCATGAATATTATCTCCTATAAATTTTTAGTCCTCAATCATATTATTTTTCATATGTCAGATTTGCTGTAGTTTCTGGTTTGATGGATATATGTAAGCAGTGTTTTACCTTCCCCTCTTTTTC